TTGCTTCTTCCACTTTGCTCGCGGATGACTTCCGGGTCTGACAACCGCAAACCATCGGGTTCCTAGCCGACACTGCGGACGGGATCGCACCGGTGTTATTCTTCTCTCTCTTCCACAGGTGCGTCACGACAACCAGAGCCAACCAAGACGAGCGAAGTCGAACGACGACCAACAAACCCAACTGCTGTAGCCGAAGCACTCCGTTAGATTTACTTCTTGTAACCACCTACAAGTAATAAACTAATTAACTACTACTTACGGCATAAATCCGCGGTGTTTGGCTTGGAAAATCGGGTCGGAATCTCTTTCAGAAACTATGCCTGAAGCAAATATTTTCCTAAGAGGTATCTTGTTCGTCCCTCTGCTACCTAAACAACGACAGATCGTTACAACTAATTGACTTTGGAGAAGCCGCCACCGAAACTACAGGTTGGCTTATATACATTGTTTATTTTGAAAATAAAAGAATACATATTGAATTAAATAATTAAGTTCTTAATTTCTTAGGCAAATGCGCACAAAATTGTTAAAATAAGTACATAAAATGCATCCGCCAATGATATATTGCCCCTTTGAACAGCTGCTGGATGGTCTCCTAGATAATACAAAAAATTATTATTTATATACATATTTAAAAGATTTTCCTTGACTGACCTTTTAAAATGTGGACATTTACCGACTTTGGATTTGCGTTTGATGGTAAGCAGGAATATTTCCCTGAATCAGAAATTCGAGCACATTGAATTAAAAGGTAAGATGTTGTTATGTCTCCCTTTTCTGTGATAACGGAAACTCCTCCCCGAGGGGAGTCATAGTTTATCTCCTGGAAATATAGCATTAAGGTTAGATAATATGTGAAATTGTTTGCATTTTACAAATTCAAAATGAAAGGTTTTTAGGTTTTGCTTTTTTTAACTGCCTAAGTGAATACATTAATTTTAATTATATGAAAAAACACATACTTTATAGAAGCTGGTTAAAAGTTTAGAGCTACTACTCCTACTACTACTATTGAAAGAGCTGTGCCAAATAAAACACGTCTTCATTTGCTGAGTTATAATTTCAAACTGATTTTATTTTCTTAAAGTCCTAGCTTAGGTGGCTAACATGAATATCGCATAGATTTATTTTTAGATAAACCCACTCAGGTACAAGCGGGAAATTTCCGCTGCCCGATATCCTTATCTACACAAACATCTGGTGACCACTCGCAGGAGGTCCCATTGCATCGCATTGCCTGCTTATATTACACTTACGTAACGAATATATAATCAAAATTAGTACAATAATTATACATATAATTAATGAGGTATTTAACATTTAACCCATTTAATTCGATGTGACTTTCATTTAACTGTTTTATTTTCTTAGCAAGTCTATCAATCTCTACTGTATGGTTTATATACTTGGCCTCGAATGGGCTCCGAACAATTTTCGGCGTATCTGTAATTTCACTTATATATGTATGCTGATGATAGAGTCCGAGCCTGCAATCAGACCTTAGAGTTAAAATTCCTTCCTCTGGCAAATTAATTAAATCTATATTTGGACATCTTAGATCCACCTCTTGTTAACCTTTTTGGTTTGGGTTCTTCTTCATTTTATTTGGCAGCTTTTATGCCGATGAGAGGGCAAATCTTACTGATCGGCCGAGAAATGCTTGCATCTTGCATCTTAACTTTCACTACACGAACCTTCTCATCTTTACCCTTGTGTATTTCTTCGACCTTCCCTAATGGCCATCTTGATGGATGACAATTTTCATTCTTTATCAAAACTACTTGTCCTTTTTATATATTGGGCATATTTTTTCTCCATTTATATCTCTGTTGAAGGGTATGCAAATAGTCCTCTTTCCATTTTACCCAAAATTTCTTTTAATTTTTTTAATTAATTTCCACCTGTCTAAATTTCCTATTTTTTCATTTTCCTCTATAGGTTCAATTACTTCCAACGGTGGTCGTCCTATAAGAAAGTGACCTGGTGTCAGAACTTCAGTCTCTGCTATATCGTTGTCTGATAAATATAGAGGACGTGAGTTCAAAACTCTTTCAATCTGGCATAACAAAGTTGACATCTCTACGTACGTCAAACTGCCGTCCCCAATAACTCGTTTAAGATGGTATTTGACTGATTTTACTCCAGCCTCCCAGATACCTCCAAAGTGAGGTCCTGCCGGGAGAATAAAATGCCACTCAATTCCTTCTTTCCCGAGGTTGGATGCAACTGCGGAATCTTCTTGAATTGCCTCTGCCAACTGTTCATCCAACTTTCTAGCGGCGCCTACAAAATTTGTTCCATTAATAAAATTATTCTTGCAAATTTCTGTTTCAATATCAGATTTTTCTTTGTTTTCCACTTCAATAGTAGTTGCAACTATTGAATGGGTGCCCTTAGATTTGGTGCACCCAGAGATAATCCACCCAAAATTCGTATTTTGGCATAACAACCCATTAATTTTTGCCAAACCTCTCTTTACTATATGTGTATACAAATCCGCTCCAATAATCACATCAAATCGACTTGGCTTATTAAAGTCTGGGTCAGCTAATGCAAAGTTATGCCATTTTGATTTGTCTACATTTATCTCATTTTCAGGCAGGGTTTTCATTAACTTTGGCAATATTATTGCCTCAGTCACCAATGGCTTCTTTGAGTTGAAGCCGTTTATCACAAGTTTCATTTTGTATTTTGACACACTTGTTCCTGTAGACGAAATTCCACTAATTTCAGTTTTTGATTTGATTCTTGGCAGCTTTAAATTCTGTGCTGCCTCCTCTGATATTATGGTTTTTTGTGAGCCACTATCTATTAGTGCCCTTAAAATTTCAAAATCGCCTTTAGCCGATTGGCCCACAAGGTAGCCACATGAGACGATTGTTATTCACACTGTTTATCAATGACCTGCCGCAGGTTCTAACAAAATCTAGAGAACTTATGTATGCTGATGGCGTTAAACTTTGTATGCAGTATAGGGATAGTTCAAGCCAGTCAGAGTTACAATTGGATCTTAACAACTTTCACTCGTGTTGTCACGATAACTCTTTACATCTCAACAGCTCTAAATGCAAACTGATGACATCCCTGTTTTCCACATATATGCTTAACGACTGCGCTTTGGAAAGAATCTCTCTTGATGACGATATAGATGTCCGACTAGATCCTAAACTTTCGTTCTCTGAATATATATTTTGGATGGTTAACAAAGCCACAAACTTGCTGGGATTCATTAATTTGTGATCGAAGGTAGTCTCCTTATGTAACAAAGACGCTCTTCACGTCATTATTGACTCTTTTATTGGAGTATGGTTTATGCCTTCGGAGTCCTCAATTTTGAGTCTATAGTAACCGCATTGAATCTGATTGCCCTCCGTGGCTTAACCTGGGATGCTGATTTAAGATTGCCGTCTTACTCAAGTAGACTTCTCTTAGTTAATTTTCCCTCCCTAGCTGACCATGGAACGATTCACGGGGACGTGGAGAGCCCCTGTCTGCTTGGTCAGCTCAATTTCCATGTTCCCCGACTAGCATCTAGAACTTATTTTCCTTTTGTAGTACATCAGTGTAGGAGAGAGTTTGAGGTACATGAACCATTCAGGGTTTTATGTACCGATTACAATCGCCTCTTTAAATATGTTGATGGCATTGAAAGCCTCTCTAAATTAAAAACCTTATTACTTGTAGAATTAGCTTGTAATGTATCCTAATTTTTCTCGTTATATCAATTATTTCCCTTCTCTCGCGTCTATCTATAACGTAAACGTACCGTACGTCACACGGTTGGGCGGAAGGTGGACTTGGGATTCGCGACCGCAAAAAACGAAATGAAATAAAATGTTTCGTTTTCAAACATAAAACAAAAAACAATATTTTTCCTCTTTTAATCATCAAACAACATGTTACATTAAAGGAAGCCATCTGGTGGCGAAACGGAGTTCGCCGGGCTTGATAGTATATGAATGAAATGAAAGAAGGAATTACTTACTTATTTTTGAACATAAATAAGTAAAATTTTTATTGTATTAATTCCTAGTGATCGAAGTTGTATCTGAAAAGGTATATAAACGTGTCGATTGGCGCTGATACACTATAGAGGCAAGTCTAGCTCAGGCGACGGGTATACTATACCGCGCCAAGCTCTATATAAAGCGGACCACAGACGTATTTCGGCATTCAGGCGGGCGGAAATTGGATAAGATAGTCTGACAACATCCAGTAGTCAGGAGCAAAGTTACTATTGGCTTCATTGTAGTTAGTTCCCTAGGTGATTTTCTTTCGTGGGTGATTTTTGAGTCCATTAATAAAATCTCTGTGGGACGACTTTTGATTCCAACAACAACTTTTTTCGTGGATGCCTTTTCGAGTCCAACAATTGCTTCTTCCACTTTGCTCACGGATGACTTCCGGGTTTGACAACCGCAAACCATCGGGTTCCTAGCCGACACTAGGGACGGGATCGCATCGGTGTTATTCTTCTCTCTCTTCCACAGGTGCGTCACGACAACCAGAGCCAACCAAGACGAGCGAAGTCGAACGACGACCAACAAACCCAACTGCTGTAGCCGAAGCACTCCGTTAGATTTACTTCTTGTAACCACCTACAAGTAATAAACTAATTAAGATACTACTTACGGCATAAATCCGCGGTGTTTGGCTTGGAAAATCGGGTCGGAATCTCTTTCAGAAACTATGCCTGAAGCAAATATTTTCCTAAGGGGTATCTTGTTCGTCCCTCTGCTACCCAAACAACGACAGATCGTTACAACTAATTGACTTTGGAGAAGCCGCCACCGAAACTACAGGTTGGCTTATATACATTGTTTATTTTGAAAATAAAAGAATACATATTGAATTAAATAATTCTTAATTCCTTAGGCAAATGCGCACAAAATTGTTAAAATAAGTACATAAAATGCATCCGCCAATGATATATTGCCCCTTTGAACAGCTGCTGGATGGTCTCCTAGATAATACAAAAAATTATTACTTATATACATAATAAAGATTTTCCTTGACTGACCTTTTAAAATGTGGACATTTACCGACTTTGGATTTGCGTTTGATGGTAAGCAGGAATATTTCCCTGAATCAGAAATTCGAGCACATTGAATTAAAAGGTAAGATGTTGTTATGTCTCCCTTTTCTGTGATAACGGAAACTCCTCCCCGAGGGGAGTCATAGTTTATCTCCTGGAAATATAGCATTAAGGTTAGATAATATGTGAAATTGTTTGCATTTTACAAATTCAAAATGAAAGGTTTTTTAGGTTTTGCTTTTTTTAACTGCCTAAGTGAATACATTAATTTTAATTATATGAAAAACACATACTTTATAGAAGCTGGTTAAAAGTTTAGAGCTACTACTCCTACTACTACTATTGAAAGAGCTGTGCCAAATAAAACACGTCTTCATTTGCTGAGTTATAATTTCAAACTGATTTTATTTTCTTAAAGTCCTAGCTTAGGTGGCTAACATGAATATCGCATAGATTTATTTTTAGATAAACCCACTCAGGTACAAGCGGGAAATTTCCGCTGCCCGATATCCTTATCTACACAAACATCTGGTGACCACTCGCAGGAGGTCCCATTGCATCGCATTGCCTGCTTATATTACACTTACGTAACGAATATATAATCAAAATTAGTACAATAATCTATATATATAAAAATGCTCTGTTCGTGTCTACATCCTTCATAGACTTGAAAAGTTCTGAACCGTTTAAGCCCAAATTTTTACACAACATGCGTTGAGGTTCCAGCTCGTTTATTGTCTACTTTTGATGTTGATAGCTTATCTGCGGTTGCGAATATATCAATTTTTTTAGCGTTTCCCCGTGCCCCTACTGCTGCGCCCTCTACAGACAGCCAGCTGAATCAAAGCATTTCCTGACAAACATTCAAAACATATTGAAAGAAGAAATTGGAGATTAAAATTTTATTTTTTTGTTCAGGTTCAGTAAGAAACGAAGTCATGCCATCAAAGAAGTCGTGATTGGGTCGCCGTATTCGCAATACAGAAGTAAAAAGACGTAAGATTACGAATATGACTGACGAAGAACGGGCCTCCATCCGAGAGACGCGGCTGCGCGATGATTTATATACTTGGCCTCGAATGGGCTCCGAACAATTTTCGGCGTATCTGTAATTTCACCTATATATGTATGCTGATGATAGAGTCCGAGCCTGCAATCAGGCAAATTAATTAAATCTATATTTGGACATCTCAGATCCACCTCCTGTTAACCTTTTTGGTTTGGGTTCTTCTTCATTTTATTTGGCAGCTTTTATGCCGATGAGAGGGCAAATCTTACTGATTGGCCGAGAAATGCTTGCATCTTGCATCTTAACTTTCACTACACGAACCTTCTCATCTTTACCCTTGTGTATTTCTTCGACCTTCCCTAATGGCCATCTTGATGGATGACAATTTTCATTCTTTATCAAAACTACTTGTCCTTTGTATATATTGGGCATATTTTTTCTCCATTTATATCTCTGTTGAAGGGTATTCAAAAAGTCCTCTTTCCATTTTACCCAAAAATCTCTTTTAATTTTTTGAATTAATTTCCACCTGTCTAAATTTCCTATTTTTTCATTTTCCTCTATAGGTTCAATTACTTCCAACGGTGGTCGTCCTATAAGAAAGTGACCTGGTGTCAGAACTTCAGTCTCTGCTATATCGTTGTCTGATAAATATAGAGGACGTGAGTTCTAAACTCCTTCAATCTGGCATAACAAAGTTGACATCTCTACGTACGTCAAACTTCCGTCCCCAATAACTCGTTTAAGATGGTATTTGACTGATTTTACTCCAGCCTCCCAGATACCTCCAAAGTGAGGTCCTGCCGGGAGAATAAAATGCCACTCAATTCCTTCTTTCCCGAGGTTGGATGCAACTGCGGAATCTTCTTGAATTGCCTCTGCCAACTGTTCATCCAACTTTCTAGCGGCGCCTACAAAATTTGTTCCATTAATAAAATTATTCTTGCAAATTTCTGTTTCAATATCAGATTTTTCTTTGTTTTCCACTTCAATAGTAGTTGCAACTATTGAATGGGTGCCCTTAGATTTGGTGCACCCAGAGATAATCCACCCAAAATTCGTATTTTGGCATAACAACCCATTAATTTTTGCCAAACCTCTCTTTACTATATGTGTATACAAATCCGCTCCAATAATCACATCAAATCGACTTGGCTTATTAAAGTCTGGGTCAGCTAATGCAAAGTTATGCCATTTTGATTTGTCTACATTTATCTCATTTTCAGGCAGGGTTTTCATTAACTTTGGCAATATTATTGCCTCAGTCACCAATGGCTTCTTTGAGTTGAAGCCGTTTATCACAAGTTTCATTTTGTATTTTGACACACTTGTTCCTGTAGACGAAATTCCACTAATTTCAGTTTTTGATTTGATTCTTGGCAGCTTTAAATTCTGTGCTGCCTCCTGTGATATTATGGTTTTTTTGTGAACCACTATCTATTAGTGCCCTTAAAATTTCAAAATCGCCTTTAGCCGATTTAACTTTAATTTTTGCTGCGTTTGAGCAGAAGTCACGCAAGTATTGACTTTTTCTCTTTTTTGAGCATTGATATGCAGCATAGAATGATGTCTTCTATTACATTGCGGACATAAATATTCGCTGGTACATCTTTCACTGTCAGAATGTTTAAGACATCTTGTGCAAATTTGTAATTTCTTTACGATTTCTAATCGCTCTGTGGGATTCATCCCTCTAAACTTGTAACATTGGTTTAATAAATGTCCCTTCACTTTGCAGATGTGGCACCTTTCACTTGTATTAAGCACATTATTTCCATTTGTAACATTAAAATTTTTGGGAGAGTTAAAGTTTTTTGATAAATTTTTATTTTCAGGTTTTTCTTTCTGTACAGAACTAGTCGAACTAAGTCGCTGCTCCAAAAAATCCATAACATCCGATAATTTCTGGATGTCCTTGGTCTTTTTTACATGGCTCTCATATAATTGAAGAGTATGTGTATTAAATTTTCTGAGCACCATATGAGCAAATAACACGTCCACCTCATCTGTTAGATTGGCCTTGAGTTTAAGGATGTGTATTGCCTCATTAATGGTGTCAATAAAATATTTGATCTGTCTGACGGAATCAATATTTAAAATTGTCAAATCCATCAACCGATTAAACTGCTCCGAGAAAATGTTACGATTATTTTCGTACCGCTTGGTTAGAAGGTCCCAAGCGGCATCGTAATTTTCTGCAGAGCCCATTAAAAGATGAGCGACCACGTTTCGCGCTTAATTTTTTAAGGCCGATTTCAAATAATTGAATTTTAAGGAGGTACTGAGACTCTCCCTTGAATGTATTAATTCAACGAATAATTCCTGAAAAAGGTCCCATTCTTTTGAATCGCCGCCAAATGTGGGTACCTCGATTTTTGGTAGAATAAGTAAATCTGAAATTTTACTCATACTCTCCAATTTTACATCTACTTTTTCCTTCATCTGTTCATTAACTTCAGATGATATATTCTGAATATCAAATTCTAACTCGCTAAGGGTTAATTCGACCTCAAGGCTACAAGATCATATTTTTGTTTTAAGTTCAGCAATGTTTTGCCAGAGGAAATGAATTTTGTTTTTTCTTATTCTCAAGGTCTCTCGTTTTTCATTTTGAATTTCTAAATATGTTTCTTCTAAATATGATTTTAGCTGATTACCTTTTGTTCAAATATGGATTGCGCCTCTTTTGTTGTTGACCTACTTTGGTCATAAGCGGCTCTAAATTCCTTTAATAAATCCATTACCTTTTCATATTTTTTCTTAGTGAAATATTCATGGTCTATGGGCCCTAGCCTTACCAACATATTGTGGTTCGTTTAAAACTCCCTCTCTAAGTCATTTAACAACTGCACATCATTGTTTGAAATTCTCCTACCTTCATGGCAATTGGATACTATATCCCCACATGTCTTATTTAATTCAGCCTACCTTTTTAGAAGGTTTAAAATTTGTTCTGACAGCATTTTTCTTTTTAATATTATTTTTAGCGGACAAAATTGAGATTTTTCCTTTAATCTTTGTTTAAATTTAGTATGTTCTTATATATTGCTTATATATACTAAGTAACAATTTAAATATTAATATAAGTGAATATTTTAAAGTGGGACTTATCCGGTGCTGTCACTGCTGTTACTGTAGTCGCCGCTGCTGATTTGTCGCCGCTGTTGATTTGTATCTACGGCTGTCCCTGCTGCCGCTGTATTTTTGCCGCTGTTGTGGGTCGTTGGTGTTTTTGGTGCCGCTTCGTTACTGCTGTAGCTTTCAGTAGATTTTATGTTTTTAGCTGCCGATGTTATTATCTTTTTGCGGCCCAATTTTTCACTTTTCGATATCCACTTGCATTGGAAATTGTTTTCACAATTTTTTATTTTATGCATCCGTTAGCCTCAGTGTCACGTCTGGCGCCCCACAAGGTAGCCACATGAGACGTTTGTTATTCACACTGTTTATCAATGACCTGCCGCAGGTTCTAACAAAATCTAGAGTACTTATGTATGCTGATGGCATTAAACTTTGCGTGCAGTATAGGGATAGTTTAAGCCAGTCAGAGTTACAATTGGATCTTAACAACTTTCACTCGTGTTGTCACGATAACTCTTTACATCTCAACAGCTCTAAATGCAAACTGATGACATCCCTGTTTTCCACATATACATATGCTTAACGACTGTGCTTTGGAAAGAATCTCTCTTGATGACGATATAGATGTCCGACTAGATCCTAAACTTTCATTCTCCGAACATATTTCTGGCATGGTTAACAAAGCCACAAACTTGCTGGGATTCATTAATTGGTGGTCGAAGGTGGTCTCCTTATGTAACAAAGACGCTCTTCACGTCATTATTGACTCTTTTATTGGAGTATGGTTCATGCCTTTGGAGTCCTCAATTTTGAGTCTATAGTAAGCGCATTAAATCTGATTGCCCTCCGTGGCTTAACCTGGGAAGCTGATTTAAGATTGCCGTCTTACTCAAGTAGACTTCTCTTAGTTAATTTTCCCTCCCTAGCTGACCGTGGAACGATTCACGGGGACGTGGAGAGCCCCTGTCTGCTTGGTCAGCTCAATTTCCATGTTCCCCGACTAACATCTAGAACTTATTTTCCTTTTGTAGTACATCAGTGTAGGAGAGAGTTTGAGGTACATGAACCATTCAGGGTTTTATGTACCGATTACAATCGCCTCTTTAAATATGTTGATGGCATTGAAAGCCTCTCTAAATTAAAAACCTTATTACTTGTAGAATTAGCTTGTAATGTATCCTAATTTTTCTCGTTATATCAATTATTTCCCTTCTCTCGCGTCTATCTATAACGTAAACGTACCGTATGTCACACGGCTGAGCCCCTCGGTCGGTTGGGCGGAAGGTGGGCTTGGGATTCGCGACCGAAAAAACGAAATGAAATAAAATGTTTCGTTTTCAAACATAAAACAAAAAACAATATTTTTCCTCTTTTAATCACCAAACGAAATGTTACATTAAAGGAAGACATCTGGTGGCGAAACGGAGTTCGCCGGGCTTGATAGTATATGAATGAAATGAAAGAAGGCTTACTTACTTATATTTGAACATAAATAAGTAAAATTTTTATTGTATTAATTAGTGATCGAAGTTGTATCTGAAAAGGTATATAAACGTGTCGATTGGCGCTGATACACTATAGGGGCAAGTCTAGCTCAGGCGACGGGTATACTATACCGCGCCAAGCTCTATATAAAGCGGACCGCAGACGTATTTCGGCATTCAGGCGGGCGGAAATTGGATAAGATAGGCTTACAACATCCAGTAGTCAGGAGCAAAGTTACTATTGGCTTCATTGTAGTTAGTTCCCTAGGTGATTTTCTTTCGTGGTAGATCTTTTTCACTAAGTAGGGTCATTAATTTGATATTAGAAATTAGTGTTATCTTTAACCTGCCATTCTCTTAAAAGGGTTGGTTAATAAAAATTAATAATAGGGGTAGCTGATTGAATGGTGTGAGGTCACGTGAAAAACGTGTGTGAAAGTGGTATCGGCTCACTCGATACGGATACGAGTGCGACGGAGCAATATCGCAACGCGTTCAATCATTTTCTCGTGATCGCATACCACATAAACAAATGATGAAGGATGATTTACGCTTCTGTCTGTTAAGGAAACAAAAAGGAAAAGCCGTGCGATCTTTACCAAAATAGGATCATTTCTGTGTTATCACCTTCCACTAAAGGACATTCACCGGAGATCAAAAGCTAAAAAGGGATGGATGGTAAAAGGGTGCATTTATTTCATCCCCAAAAATATATTAGGCCTTTCACATATACCATTTACATTCTTCTTCAGCGTTCGCAAACAGTAACGACATGATTGAGAAGTCAGGGGTTCAACGTAGAAGAGCCTATACAATGCACCCATTAATTAACATTTCTGACTCCTGAAGAATGAAAGTAGCTCGCCCAATCTTTCATACCTCCACAATGGTATGTGTCCGCACTCAAGAATAAAACGCTTTATACAAAAATTGTCCCTTCTTCTTTATCGTATGAACAAATATTGTAAAATCATGCATTCTACCGCCACCATGCTTGACTGTAGGTTTTCGATTTTTATCGTGCAGCTCTGTATTTAGTTGACGCCAATAATGCTGCATTACATCCGGCCCAATGTTAACCGAAAATGTTGATCTTGAACTCGTCTATTAAAATAAGATCATTCCAGAACGATAACGGTTGAGTTAAATTGCCATTGACAAATTTAAGCCTGCGCTTCTGATTATTCTGAGTAATAAAATGCTTTGTTAAAAGTTGTCTTTCCGCAATACGCGGCGGACGTTTTCCACTGGACTCCTTTTTCCATTTCATGCTCAAATCTAAAGAACGTTTTGGTGCCCAATTTTTGCAATTAATTAATTAATTTTTGCGTATAATTTCGCCTCTTCTCCATCTCTGTAAAATATTTTTTCTGAGCATTTTAGCCTTTATCTCAAAAACGATTTTCTTGAATGAAGCATTGGATGATATATTGGACAGTACTAGTGCTCAGATTGACCATTTCAACAATACTTAGATTAGTTTTTTCATTTTTTACATATATTGACGTTGTTGCACTACGGTCAGTACACTCAAGTGGCCGTATGACACCAGGCACGTGCTTGTTTGGGTTAGGTGTTAGTAGGCGCGATGGAAAATATAGGACAGAATACGAAGAAATTGACTACCAGCGTGCTGCCCCAGGTTGTTAGCTTGCATGTTTACTAAGTTTAATAGTATTAAACATTTTTATTTGGGAAGGGTATCTACGTTGGAGATTAGTGTGTACAAATCATTATAATTTTCACATAAAACTCTAAAAGGTTCATGCAGTTCGAAGGAGGTTCTACAGTTGCGCAATACAAGTGGTATATAAGATCTAGTACTTCTAGATGGTACGTGGAAATTGAGCTGATTCAACAAGTCCGCACTTTCAACATCACCATGGATAAGATTATAAATATACGGTAAGTTTATTAAGAGGAGTCTATTTGAATAGGAAGATAATCTTTGGTTTGCATCGTGGAAATTGAGCTGATTCAACAAGATCGCACTTTCAACATCACCATGGATATGATTATAAATATACGGTAAGTTTATTAAGAGGAGTCTATTTGAATAGGAAGATAATCTTTGGTTTGCATCCCAATTTAAACCGCGTAGAGCGAAACGTAAGAAGTTCTTTTGAACTGACTCGATGCGTTTACTATGGACTCCGTACTGAGGGCTCCAAACGCAGCATCCATATTATAAGGACAAACTAAAGAGATTGTAATAAAGTTTAATAATTAGTTCACAGCCCTGCTTAACTTAAGAATATATTGGCTTGGCTTCCAATTGACAAAGCTGGACGAGCAGCGCTGCGGCCAACGCTTATGTATCTAAATATGTATATTAATGTATATATACCGCTGCAGAGCAGCGGTCAAAGCTTATGCATAGGTGTATATAGGCGGCGCAAGCAGCGGCCGCGCATGAAAGAGAGAGTTATATGCTCACATGATAATCGAATGATCGGCCGCGCATGCAGACATGGGAATATTTGGACATAAACAAATGCCACAATGTTGCAGTGATGTAAGTGGTACAGTGTGTACCCGTTATGTGAGCATACTACATCTCCCTCCTTTTGAAAAATAACGTAATCTATTTATTATCTATATTATTTTGAAAATTATAAAACTAGTAATTTGTTTTTTTTTTTTTGGTTAATATAGTAAATATTAAAAAAATTTAGTAAAATCGAAACTTGAAAAATTTATGCGACTATTTCCTATTATATATATATTGTTCGTATTTGTATTTCTATATTCATTATAATAGTAAAGAACATTTCTTTTTTTTGGAAAAGAAAAATTTGATGAAATTTTATTTTTTTTCTTACGAATGGAGGATGGCCATCCTACAAAATCTATTCCATAGAAATTTTTAATCTATCCTTATGAAATGTCTGAGTTTTGTTTTTTTGTATTTAAAATTGTTATATTATTATTAGGTTCTATCTTCTTTACCGTATAGGGTCCTGTATATTTAAAGTCTAGCTTATGATCTTTTTCATTATACCCTTGCAGGGTATTATAATTTCAGTCAAAAGTTAGCAACGCAGTGAAGGAGGCACCTCCGACCATATAAAGTATATATATTCTTTATCAGGATCAACAGCCGAGTCAATCTAGCCATGTCCCTCTGTCCGTCTGTCCTTCTGTCCGTGTGTCCGTTTCTTCGCAAACTAGTCTCGCAGCTTTGAAGCTATCTGAATGAAATTTTGTAGTTTTGTAAAAAAAATATTATAACATTTTCAGTTTTCAACAGAATTTGATTAAATTTGAGATATATCCATATTATTATACTCTACAATTTTGTGTAAAATTTTATGAAAATCGAACCACTATATCATATAGCTCCCATAGGAACAATCGAGAAATTAATACAATTAAATTTATAACTTTTTCAGTTTTCAACTGATTTTCATCAAATTTGAGGTATAGCCATTTTATATTAGTCTTAAATTTTGTGTCAAATTTCATAAAAATCATATAGGTGCCATACAAACGATCGTTTGATGTAGAGGAAAATGCAAATCTGTGAATGTAAAACTGCAAATATAATATGTATAGGTGAATGAAATGAAAGAAGGTATTACTTTATTGTTTTTTAACACAAATATATATAATTTATATTGTATTTATTCTTAGTCATAGAAGTTCTATCTGCAAGGGTATATAAACTTCGGCGTGCCGAAGTTAGCTTCCTTTCTTGTTTTTTAATAAAACCTGGTCCCCTTTTTTTAATTCAAAATCTAAGCTATTTTTGTCGTATCTATCTTTTTTTTATTAGTTTCTAGCATTATTCTGGCTCTTTTATATGCCTGTTCTAATTCCTTAGCATAATCTTCTATATTATATAATGGTTCTATTCTATTTATGCTATTGAAATTGTTTGGTAAGTTTGGAGTTTTCCCAAATACCAATTCGTATGGACAAAAATCATGTGCCATAGAGGGGGTTGTGTTAATACAGTATACGAAGTATTGTAGCCATACATCCCAATCTGTTTTATCAACTGTGATATATGTGCGTATGAACTCGTTAAGTGTTTTGTAACTTCGCTCCACTGTTTCGACAGTCTGGTGATAGTGTGCAGTAGAATTTATGTTTTTGATATTCAAATTTTTACATAAATCTTCAATTATAGAATTTTTATATTCTTTTCCCATGTCCGTAATGAACGTCTTCATTGGACCGTACTTCAGAATAAAATCTTCAAATACAGCTTTGGCTATTGCTTTTGCACTTTTATTTGGAATTGGTATTGCTACAAGGTATTTTGTTAAATCGCAGATAAAGGTAACTGCGTATTCATTCTCTTGTTCAGACTTAGGTAGTGGACCAATCGTGTCTACGATTACCCTGTCGAAAGCTGATTGTGGCGTTTCAGTAATGGTTAATGGGGTCTTTGTATGAGTGGTTATTTTCGCTTTTTGGCATTTAAGACATTTTCGTATGTACTCTGTAATATATCGAGTCATACCTTTTCAAAAGTAATGCCTTTTGACCTTGGTCAAGGTTTTGGTAATGCCTGTATGACCTCCTTGAATTGGTTCATCATGGTATGTCGACATAATAGCTTCGTTTTCTTTTTCAGAATTTATTAGGGTCACCGGGTTGAGTAGCGCTACGCTCAATGTTTTTAATATTTTATTGCCCATTTTCTTGAAATTATCTATTGAAACGTGTTGATTTTATGTATACCGGCTTGCGGAAAACTGACCTAAGTCAAGGACTCCATTGGTATATAAATCGCTAACATCATATCTTGCAGTAATTTTTTTTCCATGTTTAAATAGACAGCATATTTTTTTCGTGCAAGGTCACTACTTTACATACTTCGCCATTGTGTATGACTCCGTATACGGTGGGCTTTGAAGCTCTTTCTATAGATTGCCTAGGCAAGTCTATTTCTTTTTCTCCTGCGCAGGATTTCTGTCTACTTCGGTATCTTGTAGTAACTTTATTTATATTTCCGGTTATATTTTGTAAATCTTTGATAGTTATTCTTGATAACGCATAGGCTACCTGATTGTCTTTCCCCTTTAAATAATCAACTGTGAGGTTGTATTCTTCTAATTCTAGCCTCATACGTGTCAGTTTGGAACTTGGGTTTGTCATTGAGAACAAGTATGTTAAAGGTCTATGATCTGTTTTGATAGTGAAATGTTTGCCATAAATGTATGGTTGAAAATGTAATATTGCCCAGTGTATTGCAGCTAGTTCCTGCTCGGTAGTACACATATTACATTTCCCTTTGGTAAAGGCTCTTGGTGCATATGCAATGGGAAGTTGGAGTCCGTTATGGTTTTGGGTTAAAACCGCTCCACATGCTTGCTTACTTGCATCAGTTCAGCTGTCCACTTAAAAGGTCATTCTTTTTACATAATCGTGTTATGTGCCGTGAATAGTCGGCGAAATTTGTTATGAATCGTCTGTATTCTCTTCGTCGTATTTCTTGCCGTCTGGAAGTATTCCTTTATCTGTGCACTTATGACCTAGAAAAGTCACCTCATGCATAAAGAGTGGACATTATTGTGGATGTAACTTTAGGTTATATTTCCTACATTTCTTAAAAACTTCTGTTAAGTTTTAAGCATATATTTTTCGGAGCAACCTATAACTATTAAGTCATCCATATAGAGGAATGCTTGTGAAGGTTCAAGTCCAGAGAATGCAATAGTCATCATTCTCTGAAATTAATTTGGAGATATTTTTAAACCAAAACGTAATCGCGTGAAGCGATACGACCCATTGCTCGTTGAAAATGAAGTTATATCTCTTGAGCTTTTTTTCAAGTTCTATTTGGTGAAATCTTGACAATAAATCAAGACATGAAAAGTATTTTGGTCGACCTAGTTGATCTAAAATATCATCAATTCTAGGAGTGGAAATTTATCGGACAGTAATTTTTTATTAATCTGACGATAGCCAATCACTAATCGCCACTTCTTTTCTTCGGAACATAGAGCTGGGACAATTAATAATAGGCTATTGTATTTAGATACAGAGTGTTCGACAATCCCGTCGGTGATTAATTTTCCGACTTGCTTTTGAATTTCATTCACCTGACTATGTGGGCTTCTATAGTTTTTTATGTATACGGGTTCATCATCTTTTAATCTCAGTTTTTGTTTGCTCTGGTACTTGCTATATAAATTCCATGCTCAATTTCTTGAGTTGGAATTAATACACTGTCCTCTTTTGAATTTAATTTTGGCAAAAGAATTGAGTTATTGCCAGAACTGTATGTTATTGGAACATTGGAAATTTTAAATTGTTTGGTCTTATTCTTATCTTATATCTTCAGATGGCTGAAAGTCTAGTTGACAGTTGAAGTTTTTAATGAAATCAATTCCTAATATGTCATCACAAGGGACAGCTAAGTTTAAGTCTACGATATGAAAATCGTGTGGAATTATGTACTTTGTAGTCTGTATTTCAATTGATGTTTGTAATTTCTTGGCTTATTCCCGGTATATCTATTATGTTATTTTTTTGTGTTTTGAAATATATCGGAATTTTCTTTTACTATGGAGATTTCGGCACCTTTGTCTACCAAAAATACAAGTTCTTTTCCGGTAGCCACATGGGTGAATGAGACGAATATATTCAGGCTGAGATGAATAGTATGAACTGTTACGTTCTCTACTGTTGAGTATTTAAAGGGTTTTGGGAGTTTCCCGAAGAGTCATTGGCTACTCTTACATTATTTTTATTGTTGTTATTGTAGCCTCTGTTGGAGTTGCCACGGCCCCTTGAGTTTCCTCTGTAGTTGCCGCGACCATTGTTATGGTTAGTATTATTGTAATAACTATAATTGTTACTACGACCACGGAAATTACCTCTATAACTTCCGCGTCTGTGGTTTCCGCCGCGCTGTGTAAAGTTATTGTAATAAAGAACCGAGTTTGGTTGTCCAGTTGCTTCTGTGCAACTGTTTAAAAATTTTAAAACGGCGTCATTCATTGTGTTGAAATTGCCGGCTTGCATGATAAGTTTTACCTTATCAATCGTGCAGCTTTTATTCATTGCTTTCACTGCGTGCTGTGTGGAATAACTTCTTGCTAATTCTAGTGTTAAGCCGTCTGTTATGTACGCACTTTCTAAAGCCTTCGTCATCTGCTCAATCTCTGATGT